TAGTATCCATACCAGAGTCAAACTGGGTTTTGGCTTTTTCTTTTTCAGTTTTGTTTTTGAGATAGGATCTTGCTACATAGTCCAAGCTGGCCTTGAACTTGCTGAGAGCCTATTGCCTTAGCCTCCCACGTGCTAAGATTACAGGCATGTTCCATCCTGTCCAGTTCAGCTGCAATAAATAAATAAATAATAAAACAATTCTGTACTAGGAATCCAACTCAGGACCTTGTGCCTACCAGGTAGGTGCTTGTGCTACCGAGCTGTATCCCAGGCCGTTACAAATTCTTGAAATCATGAACTAAGATTTAAAAACAAACAGCAGGGGCCAGGGAGATGGCTCAGTGGAATAAGCGCTTCCCTGGCAAGCGCAAGGGCCTGAGTTCAATCCCCGGTTCCACAAAAAAATAAAAAAATTAAAAAAAATGAAAACAAACAGCAAAATTGATGAACAGATAAAGAAAGTGTGTTATGACACACAGTTGAGTGCTTCTCAGCCACAAAGGGTAAGCGGGAGTCATTTGTAGGGAACTGGGCGCACCAAGACTTATTGTTCAGTGAGATGCCGCAGACACGCCGCTTAAGCATCACATGGCTCTTCTCACACAAAAGCCCCAAAGTATGAAGAACAGAATAAAAGATAACAGAAAGTAAAGAACTGGATCTTTTTCAATCAGGAAGAGAATCAAGGAAGGTGGGGAGCGGGCCTAGAGAGGCTGAACATGGAATGAGGGTATGTTCTCCCACAAACTCCCACAAGCTGTGTGATGGGTGCATACTAAAATGTGAATAAAGGGCTAGGAGATAGCTCAGAGGCATAAGGCCTGCGTGGCAAGCGTAAGGTCCTAAGTTCCATCCCCAGTATAACAACTTTAAAGATGTGAATAAAATTAAAACCTTAATAAATGAATACAATATAGATTATGCATCCATTTCATGTTTCCTTAAGAAATAAACTCCACTCGCAGCTATGGTTCTGTCACTGTGGGCCATGGAGCTGCCGGACAGGCAGCATGTGTCTTACTCGAAGCTCGCTACACAGTCAACTACATGTTCATCGGGGCAGTAGTGTGCTGGGAGTGCAAGCCCCGACACCCTCTACTGGGCATCCAGGTCTATTGGGTCTCAAAGATCATGACTGACAGGTGCTGCCACATGGGCTGCACCTGCCACTGCTACACCTGCACAGATGCCAGCCTGTCCTGGAGCCCAGAGAGAAGTCGCTGCAGGGCACGTGGGAGGCCAGGTGCCCAAGGGTCTCCTCCGATGTAGAATTTTCCCATGTTCCAGGGCAGTCCTAGGAGTCCTGGCCTCCTGGGAGTAAGCCTGCAGCGTTGGCCCTGGGGTGGCTGTGTTCTGGGTTTGATTCAGGAGCAAAGGCCATGGGCTGCTGCCCAGCTGCACTGGCCGTGAGTTTTTCAGACAACCAAACACCCCAGGTTTTCATTAAGATGGTCGCTACACAGAACCACAGATCTGGGAGTAATTCTCACACATCTCTTTAGGATTATGCCTCTTGGTAATAACTTGCAATTTTCTTTCTCTCATGTATTTAATATTGGGTCTACAGGTTCTCACTACACAGATGGGACTTGTAGTCCACCTGTTTTCAGCCTCCCAAGCACTAGGACTACAGGCACATGCCACCACTCCCAGTCTCAGTCATTGGCTCAGTGTACCCTGGGGGCAGGGCCAGCACAGCACCCCAGGGATCGAACCCCAGTCCCTGCCTCTTACTTGAACAGTTTTTAAGAGAGTTCCTGAGTTTGAGTTTGAACATTCACGCACCACCAGGACTTGGGGTCCACTCCAAGGAGCCCTGCGGGGGGTGAGGACCAGGCAATGCCCTTGGGAACTAAGGAGGTGGAGAGCAGGGTTAAGGACAGCAAGGCGACCTGGGCAGGTGCAGGGCTGCACATGCAAGGAGCAGGAGGCCTGGGCTGTGGCTAGTGGCAGTGGAGTGAAAGGCAGTGTGGGCCCAGGGCGCAGCACCCAGAACCCAGGACAGCCAGTAGTCAGCGCAGAACCTGCAGCCAGCTGCAGGCCAGGAAGGGCAGGTAAGCAGCCTTGGCTGCGTGAGGGTACTAGGATCACCAGCAAGCACTCAACGCTTCATCCAGGAGAACTGCTTTTCCTTTAAGAAATAAAAAGATAAAAAGACACTGAGAGGCATCAGGATTGTTTCTGGTGCTTTCATTGTTTGAATAAATAGGGGAGGAAAAAAACTGACTTAAGTTCACACACTTAAGAAAGTCATGTAACCATCTCTAAAAAGGAGGAGAGGGGAGGGGAGGGGAGGGGAGGGGAGGGGAGGAAAGAGATCCTACAGGAAACTGAAAGGAGCCACCACCTGCTCCACAAGTCCCCTGCCGGTTACTGCACCGCTGAAGAGAATGAGAGGAAAATAAGCAGCCAAGCTGCTGGCATGCGCCTGTGATCTCAGCACTCAGGAAGCTGAGGCAGGAGGATCACTGCGAGTCCCAGGCCAGCCTAGGCCACTTAACACGTTCAAGGCCTGCCTGACACAGCAAGAATCTGTCTCAAAAGAATCCAAGAAAATTTAATTACAGAAGTAAAATAGGGCAAGGGAGATAGCTCGGTAGAACAAGCGCCTGCCTGGCAAGTACAGGGTCCTGAGTCCAATCCCCAATGCGGGGGGAGGGGAGGGAGAGTAAAATAAAGCCAGTAAAATAAACACTAAAGGCAATTACTGCAAAGACCCGAAGAGCTTCACACATAAGAATCGGTGAACTCATTATACAATGACAATGATCATTGAGCCAAAACAATTTTTCAATGCACAAATAAATTTATTAGGATTTTTTAAAAATTTTATTTATTTATGTGTGTGTGTGTGTGTGTGTGTGTGGCCAGCTCAGCCCACCAGGGGGCGGGGCTGGCTGGCATGTGGTGCTGGGGATTGAACCGCGGTCCCTGTGCTTTGCTAAGCTTGTTCTAAGCAGGTGCTTTAGACCACTGAGCCATCTCACCAGGCCCTAGGATTTATTTCTAATAAGGGCAATTTCAGTGTATTTAACGCTTTTGCCGGGGATATAGCTCAGCGGCATAAGCGCCTGCCTGTCAAGTGCAAGCTCCCAAGTTCGATCCCTGGTACTGAAAAAAACCACAAAACAACAAAAAATATTTTCTTCACAACCAAGTTATAATTAGAGAAATTTCACCAAAAAGTCCATCGTTACCCACTGGCCTTTCGTGACTGTGAACGTGTCTCTGGCAATGAAGCTGTCCTCCCGGCCCTGAACTTTTCACCCCCTTTCTCCTTTAGCACCTGAGAATCCTCAAACTCGCCGGGGACTTACGAGGACGCTGAGTCCAGCAGGCAGCGCCGCTAGGGGGGGAGAGAGCACCAGCCTCTCGCGCCAGCCACCGGCCCGGCCCTTCCGCTGCTGCCCACCAGGGGTCACCCGAGAGGCCACGTTCAACGGCACAAACGCAACGTTTTGAGCAATCTAACAACCTTAACTCTGAGGAAAGGGCTTGCCAACTAATTGCCTGTTTGCTACTCCAGCGACACTGCTGAGCCCTCGCTAACACCGCGTCAACTAAAATCCAACCTCACAAAAGTCCGCTTACTTTAAAATAAAACAGCAAGATCTATGAGTTTAGTCTTCTGTGACTCACTTCCACCTACCCAAAAATACTATGCAAAGGAATCTAAAATGCTTAAACATATACAGCCGAAACATCTTCAAAGTATTTTTGGAGACTGATTTTTCTCTTCTGTGCAGGACTGCCGATAGCCATGAGAGTTGCGGGTGTGTGGCCGCAGGCCTGCAATCCCAGCACTCCGGAGGCTGAAGCAGGAGTATCCACTCAAATTCGAGGCAAGCGGGGTCTACACAGCGAAACCCTGTCAAAAAAAAAAGAAAAAAGTCTAAATGAGTTTAGCTTTGAGGTTGATTCCCGGTGGGATGTGATGAAGGTGCTATTTTTTAGAAATACGTTCTCAACAAAGAAATACACTTATCTTTAAAATCTAACATGGGAATTGCTGCTGAGCAGCCCAGGGCTCTCATCTGGGGAAAAAAAAAAAAAAACTGAGACAGGGTCTTGCGAAGCAGTTTAGGCGGGCCGCGAACTCAGTGATCCTCCTGCTCTGCCTCCAGAGCGCTGGGACTACAGGTGTACCCCACCAGGCCCGGCTTGCAACTGAAAATTAAAAATAAAGCTTTCTAAAGCTAGTGTGGTGGTTGTAATTCCAGTGCTTAAGAGGCGACACAGGATCAAGGCCCCACAAGATCAAGGCCGGCCTTTATTTTCAAGCCAAGTAAAAATAAAGCTTGCTCCGAGCCGAGCCCCACTGAGGCCGGCCCCTGACCCTTCAACCTCCTCCCTCGCTCGCACAGGGCTTGGGCGCTGCGCGCGCCGGGCAGCCCCGTTCGGTCGCACGGACTAGGTGCTGCGCTGGGGCCCACTCCGTCCTTTCTCCTCGGCCCTGCTAGCTGCACCCAGTCTCCC